CTTCAGAATTCAAACAGACAAGCACCTGCAACATAACACCCCAGACTTAACAATTGTCGATAAGAAAGACAAAAAAGTCTGGATAGTGGACGTGGCAGTGCCTGGAGATAGCAGAATAGAAGAGAAAGAACTGGAGAAGATAACAAAATACAAAGACCTACAAATAGAAATAGAAAGACTGTGGCAAAAGCAAGCAAGGGTAGTACCAATAGTCATAGGCTCCTTGGGTGCAATCCCAAAACAACTGGAGCACCACTTGAACACCATTGGCATTGACAAATTCGCTATTAGTCAATTGCAAAAGGCGGCCTTATTAGGAACTGCTTCCATCCTGCGACGATACCTGTAATACCATCAAACATCCACATCTGCCTATCCCAGGTCCTGGGTAAGGACTCGATAGGTAGACAAAATGCCAAATCCAGGCTGAACATCTGGCTGACTGTGCGATGAATGATAATAATAATAATAATAATAATAATAATAATAATAATAATAATAATAATAATAATAATAATAATAATAATAATAATAAAGTTGGAAGGGAACTTTGAGGTCATTGAGTCCAATCCCCTGCTCAGGCAGGAAACCCTACACCATTTTGGACAGATGGCTATCCAGTCTCTTCTTAAAAACTTCCAATGTTGGAGCATTCACCGCTTCTGGAGACAGGTTGTTCCATTGGTTAATTGTTCTAACTGTCAGGAAGTTTCTCCTTAGTTCTAGGTTGTTTCTCTCCTTGATTAGTTTCCATCCATTGCTTCTTGTCCTGCCCTCAGGCGCTTTGGACAATAGCTTGACTCCCTCTTCTTTGTGACAGCCCCTGAGATATTGGAACACTGCTATCATGTCCCCCCTTGTCCTTCTCTTCATTAAACATACCCATTTCCAGCAACCGTTCCTCATATGTTTTAGCCTCCAGTCCCCTAATCATCTTTGTTGCTCTTCTCTGTACTCTTTCTAGAGTCTCAGCATCTTTTTTACATCGTGGTGACCAAAACTGGATGCTGTATTCCAAGTGTGGCCTTACCAAGGCATTGTAGAGTGGTATTAATACTTCGCGTGATCTAATCCCTCTGTTAATGTAGCCTAGCACTGTGTTGGCTTTTTTGGCAGCTGCAGCACACTGCTGGCTCATATTTAAGTGACTGTCCACTAGGACTCCAAGATCCCTCACAGTTACTACTATTGAGCAAGGTACCCCCTATACTATATCTGTACATTTGGTTTTTCTTGCCTAAATGTAGAATCTTACTTTTTTCACCAATGAATTTCATTTTGTTAGATAGTGCCCATTGTTCAAGTCTGTACAGATCCTCCTGTATCCTAACCCTGTCTGGAGTGTTGGCTATTCCTGCCAGCTTGGTGTCATCCGCAAATTTGATGAGTTCCCCATCTCTCCCCTTGTCCAAATCGTTGATGAAGATGTTGAAGAGCACTGGGCCTAGAACAGAGCCCTGGGGCACCCCACTACACACTTCCCTCCATGTAGATGTAGTTCCATTGAGGACCACACGCTGAGTACAGCCGGTCAGCCAGCTATGAATCCATCTGGTGGTGATGCTGTCTAACCCACATTTTTCTATCTTATCGAGTAGTAGATTGTGATCTACTTTATCAAATGCCTTACTGAAGTCCAAGTAAATTATATCCACAGCATTCCTCTGATCCACTAATTTTGTCACTTGGTCAAAGAATGCAGTAAGGTTTATCTGGCATGATCTGTTTTTGACAAATCCATGTTGGCTTTTAGTAATGACTTTGTTTGCCTCTAGGTGTTTGCTGTTTCATTGTTTGATTATCTTTTCAAGAATCTTTCCAGGTATTGAAGTCAGGCTGATAGGGCTATAATTTCCTGGATCCATTTTTTTCCCTTTTTTGAAGATGGGAAATACATCAGCTCTTTTCCAGTCCTCTGGTAGTTCCCCAGTGCTCCAAGATCTTTGAAAAATATAGTTCAGTGGTTCTGAGATCACATCTGCCAGTTCCTTGAGAACCTTGGGGTGTAATCCATCTGGTCCTGGTGATTTGAACTCGTCTAGGCTGGACAGGTGCTCACTTATCATTTTCTTGCCTATCTTAACTTGTGTTTCTATTCTGTTTTTTATGGCACTATGTTTGATAGGTTGGTCTGTTTTTTTCCCTTTGTGTAAAAACAGATGCAAAAAATGAGTTAAATAGTTCTGCTTTCTCCCTGTTGCTTGTCACCTTCTTGCCACTTTCGCCCAATAATGGACCAATCATTTCCTTCACTTTTTTCTTGTTTGAAAGAAGCTTTTTTTGTTATTTTTGACTTTGGTCGCAAACCTTAGTTCATTTTGAGCTTTAGTTTTCCTCACTTCATCTTTGCAGTCTCGGGCTATTTGTTGATATTCTGATTTAGTTATGTGCCCCTCTTTCCACCTTCTATACTTGTCCTTTTTATTTTTCAATTTATCAGAGAGTTCTTTATGCAGCCATGCTGGTTTCTTTTGAGAGCTGTTATTTTTCCTCTTTGTTGGTATTGTGCTAGACTGGACTTCTATTATCTCGTTTTTCAGAATTTCCCAAGCTTCTTGAGTTGTTTTCCCCTGGAGGATTGTCATCCATGGAATCCTTCCCAAGCCCTCTCTAAGTTTATTGAAATTAACTCTCTTGAAGTACAAGACTCTAGTTTAACTATGTTCTATTGCTTGTGCTTCCATAATGTTGAATTCCAATATTGCATGATCACTACCTTCCAAGGTTCCTGTGGCTTCAACACCTTCTATCATTTCATCTCTGTTAGTGAAAATTAGATCCAAAATGGCTAATCCCCTAGTTCCCTTCTCTACTTTTTGGGAGACAACAGCAGAGAGTAAATGGGCTAAACAGATTTCAGCTGTTGACGCTCCTTACTAGAGACTTTCAGATGGAGATATTAAAGAATGTTGATTCAAAGCTTTTTGAAACTTAAAATGAAGGCATGACAGGATGAAATTAACTTTGGACTAGCTTGGAATAAGTGGAACTCTGTCTAGAATTGTTTAAAGGGAAATAGCTCAGCTCATTCCAAGTCCTCTTTCCAAGTTCTTAGGAGAAGCAAGGCCCTGGGTCTCCTCTATTTTCTCCATTCCATAAGATGAAGGATGGGAGCTTGGCTTCCCTCACTTCCTGCCTTTTTTGCTGCTTCAGCTTCTTTAAAAGAAGAAGAAGGGGAAGGTAGGCAGCACAGAAGTTCTATCATGTTCCCACCAAAAGGATAACAATTCAGATTTCTCTCTCCTATAGTGCAAGAGAAGTGAAGTCTGCAGTTTATTTTGCAGAAGGCATGATTTGGGAAAGCAGAGTGAAAGGAAATAAACTGCAAACTTTCAATGAATGCATGGCTAAGGATGTGCTGCTTTGGTATTGGATTGCTCTAATGGCTAAAACATTTGGTTTCTATCCGAGAAACAAAACTGATTGAATCAGAAGCAAAAAATATATAATCAAACCCAGCCCAATGCTCATTTGGAGGGCACCAGTCTGTTACTTTAAACCACCCACCAAGTTACTGTCCACTGGAAAAACAGTTTTGGTGCTTTTTCTCATGGCATTATTTTCATTTAATTAATCCTGTAGCTACATATTTCTTTAATCGCTTTTGCTGCCTGTTGGTTTCTTCCTTCAGAATAAGATGTTTCACCTGACAAATTACAGTCCCAACTTCAGTAATTGAACACATCTGTTCAACTGTTAATGTCAGGTATGGGTTATTTGTAATTTCTGAGCTGGTTTTTGACCTATTTGTGAAACTGCTGCCTCCTGGCCTGTTTCTTTGACTTGATTTCTGTAGTGTTTCTTTTCTAAAACTGGAAGAAGCCTGAATTGAGTTTGGGAAACAGAAATAAGTCTTATTCTTTTCCAAGATGGTTAAAAGGCAAAAAAAAAAAAGTCAATAGCAGTAGAAATAAGAAAATAAAGTTTTAAAATAAAGCTATGTTTGCCACAAAATGTTGGCTATTACATCAAGCATTATCAAATCATAAAAATAACTGTCAGTCAAGAGAATGGATGACAGACTGACTGACTACCCCAAACCTAGTAATGACATAGTTTACAATTAATTCTATATCCACAATCAAGCAAGAATCAGCAGGAATAGTGAACCAAAGTGTGGGAATATTCTTTGCAATGATGAATTCCATAAGCTCTCTTCCTTATTTTTCAATTCTCTAAACTAAGAAAATATGGGAATTAAAACAACAGGTTATAAAGCTACCATATCTGGGCAAGACAAATCCAACTCTGAGGAACTTTTCAGGAGAAATTATTGGAGGTAGGGAGAGCCAGTTTCAAGGAACTGAAAAGTTTGCGAAGCTGATAGTGTCAAGTGAAATTGAAAACTTTGAAACTCAAAAAATTTTTGAGTTTCAAAAATTCCGATTGGCATTATAGTTGACTTTTTCTTCCAACATTTTCAACTTCCATTTACAAATCGTGATATTTTGTTACTTTTCTAAATTTATATATTTGAAAATCCAATTATCTCCAGATATGCAACATCTATGAACCACAGATTTTTTTTAAAAAAAATAGTAGGATCATGTTTCAGGTGAGTCTCAGCCTGTATTTTAAAAGCAAAAAAACTTTTTTTCTGGTGTCAGGTCCAAGTAGTTTTTCTTAATAATAAAGCCAACTTTTTATCTGTATTCCAGTACCTAATTTGTTAACAACAACAACATTGTCAGCCTTTCTATCCACCTATCAAGTCCTTCCCAAGGACCTGGAATAGCAGATGTTGATGTCTGATGATGTTAAAGGTATCACAGGATGGAAGCTGTTCCAAGTTAAGCTGCCTTTATACACAGTACAAGTTTCATTTGGGTTTTTTTTCCCCTTGGGTTTTTTTTCTTATTACATAGATTCTTCACATTACAGAGTTGCCTCCACCCAAAATGTATATTCTCATGACGTATCATTGGAATGCATATATAATCATCTGTTCTGTTTCTAATTACAGTGCACAGTCAATGATTTTTTAACAGAGTGGAAATGGTTAGAAAAGCTTTAATTCTCACGTTGGACAGAAATGATTGAAAATTCATTCCCTTTCTCATGAGCGAAAATGAGACCAGACTTCTCATGGGTCAGACCTGGAGATCTGATCATCCATGTATGGTAAGCTTCCTTTTTTGCTGCCTGCTTGGGACTCTCAAGCAAGTTACAGGCTGTGAACTATGTTTAATGTGGTAGGTCAGAAATGCTGGCATGGCATCCATGTAACATTCCTGATTTTTTTTTAAAAAAAAAAATGCAGCTATGTAATTGCCTCATTATTGCATATTTCTCACATATTAATTCAGTGTATTAGGGATATCAAATGTTGCATAGCAAATGCAATTTTCAGGAAAATTCTTACCCAAAAAAAGTGTAACTATTTTAGCATTTTCTTGATGCTTTTGTTATCTCCCTTGATAAAATGGCTCACCTGTGATAGAAAAAAAAACCCACCAAAGGGTGGGGTTTGTGTGAATTGTGTGACTATATTCTGGAGCAAATTGATCAGATTTGCAAGACAACAAGTGAATCTGAAGTTTTGTTCTTTAAATTCTTGATCTCTTCAGATGATCGAGTGACTGCTTAAATTTATACTCCAGCTGTAAGCTTATTCTAACTCTCAAGATAGCTTACAGCAATTTAAAAAATATATAGAGTATGAAATATAAAAAAATGAATTAAAATCAATCATTAAAATAATTCTCAATTAAAAGGTTAGCAAAGGATGTGTTCTTCCTAAATGATGAGAGAGTGAGAGCGAAACAGATCTCTTTAAGAAGCAAATTCCATAGTGTGGATATAATGGTATGTAAGAATGATCTTGGGAAACAGGGCAACTAGACACAATCAAGGGCAAGTCAGATAAGAAGTAGCTTAGCCAGCAGAAGGAATGTGGATGTTGCAAACATCTCAGAAGGGACTCTTCATAGTTTCTTGAGCTGAAAAGGTGAGATTTGCAAAGTTCAGTTAATGTAAACTTACAGTAATATAGAATTAGTTAATCTGGGTGTGTTTCCTCTTCACATTATCTTGCATGGCTGACACTGGGTATCACATAGACGACCCCTCTCTGCATATTGAATAGTTACTGTTCTGGCAATAGAGCATCTTCAAAAGGACCTTCCAGTTGATTTAAGCAATGGAGAGCATTCATAACAGATGAGGCAGTCTTGTAAATAATCACAGCAGTTGTTTTGTGCTTTAAAAGTCAACACCAATGTTCTTGATTGTGCCTGGTAGGCAACTGGAAACCAGTGCATCATTATATGATCCTGTCTTTTGTCCTGGTCAGCCATTTGCCTGTCACATTTGATCTGAGATGCAATTTTGGAAATTTTTCAACAGTAGTCCCATGTGCAGTAATTCATACCATAACAGTCATGATGGGTTCCAACTAAGATATCATTATTGCTCTGTAGGACTACAGTTGGTATGCTAGCTAAAATTTTGCAAAGGTACTCCTTATTACAGCTGTTACATGTTCTGTGATAGCTGGGGATCAAGAAGCAACCTCAAACTGTAAAGATGTGCTCTTTTGAGGAATGCCACATCATCCAAAACAAGCTTTATCTCCATCCCAGAGTTTATCTCCAATTGTACCACCTTGTACCTGGATTTAATGTTTTGCTTGCTCTTCCTCATTCAAGATTATTTTTAAGATTAGATGGTGTTCAAGGGCACTGCATATTAGAAAGCAGGGACCAGTAGAATCAAGTGTGAAGTGACAATGTCTTAATTTAGCCATAGAGAAATGGAAGTCTAATTCTAACTATATTAGAGTATTAGAAGTTGCATAAGGAACTTGCAATAAAAGTTTTAAAACCTTTGATTGAATTGTTTCTCAATTAGAAGATTCCTTATACAATTGAGCACCACATGGCAACAGATCCAGAACTTTAGTTTTAAATAATTTAATAGCTGCTTGAGACGTAATTATTTCCAGATTGATTTGCAAATTTAGCAATTGAAAGGAATGCTTTTGGGGCTGTTATTAGTAACTTTCTTGATTGAATAGATCAGAGGTAGAGGACTGAAAATGGACACTCGGATATTTAAAGTATTTAACTTGTTCAGTAAGTTTGCAGCTAATCATCCATCTTATTGAGGACTTAAAGTGTTTCTTAGAGAATACCAATACCTTCTCAGGAGCAGAAAAATAATAGAGTGTTGAGGGATCTTCAAAGGTCTACTTGGATTACAGTAGCTGTATAGAGAAAAACAGAGACGGAGTAATGGATGAGAGAGGATGGAATTGAGGCTTAATGCTGACTGGGGAATTCTGGGAGTTGAAGTCCACAAGCCTTAAAATTGCCAAGGTTGGGGATACCTGCACTGGATAGGTTGCCAAGGATATGTAATGGACTGAGAATAACCTTGAGAGATAGAAGGAAATGCTGCGCCCTAGACAATGATCTGATAAACTAAATCTGAGTTCAGAGTAAGTGGTTCAATACTGATACTGCCTAGTTCTCTGGAACATAAAGACGGGAGGGGAAGAGGTTCATTCAGACCTTCAATTTTCTGTTACTGTAACCTTATAATAAAAAGAGCATTAGTATTCATTGATTTCTGACAGGACTATCTGAAAGGGCTGACAGGATTTTACCCCTTAACTTGAATAGTAGTGCCATGATATAATGGAAGACAGTGGTTTACAAATGTAGTAGCTAATTTCTTCCAGGGTCCTTTTTTATGGTATGGAGTCAAATGCTGCCCTCAATTCTAAAAAGACCACATAGAGATCATCATTAGATTGGTTATGTATTTCTTAGCTAAGTGATGTAGTTACTACATTGGTCCATAGTTTAATGTTCAGACCTGAAACCAGGTTGTTCCAATACCAAAATATTTTGGAGGACATCCAATCCAAGAGTTTGTAATATAGAAATCCAGCATATCATTTGCTAATTACAGATAATAAGCTTATTGGGTGGCAATTTTTTTATTCATTTATTTATTTTATGCATTTGAGTCAGTATTGTCTCCTGGTGAGTGCCTGGACGAATCCTTCCAGTTTTCTTGGCAAGATTTTCAGAAATGGTTTGCCATTGTCTTCTTCCTGGGGTTGATAGAATGACTAGCCCAAAGTGACCCAGCTGGCATTGTACCTAAGGTGTACACAGTCTCCTGATTTCTAGCTTGGTGTCTTACCGTATCACATTTGTTACCTTTTTGATAAGCTGGCATAAGAATAAACCAATCTTTAGGGAGACAAAGAGTTATTTATGGCTCTGGGCAAGCACAGACTCCTACCATGCATGGTTCAGGCTGGGCAGAAAATTCACTGCCTTCAGATATGATTTATAAGCTCCAGAAACTCAAGGAGGATTGGATTGTTACTGCTGTAAGATTGACAAGATGCCAAAACAGACAATTGCCTTTGTTAGCTACAGCCTGCTGGACTCCAGTCCATACTCTAGAGCAGCGGTTCTCAACCTTTGTGTGACGGCCACCCCCGTCACACGGACGCGGCGTGCATGCGCGGTGCGCATGCGCGGTGGCGCCCCATGCACGGCATGCATGCGCAGCGGCGCCCCCTGAGGGGGAAAAATGGCGGATCGTGTTGTTTGGCGACCCCCGTAAAATGGTCATTCGACCCCAAATGGGGTCGCGACCCATAGGTTGAGAACCGCTGCTCTAGAGGCTAATTTTGCTTATCTTCCTTTAAATGTTTCTTATAAATCCCTTTTTAGGAAGTGAAAAAGAAGAGGCTTTACAGATGAGGGTTCTTGTGAACAAAAGAATTTGAGATTTAGATATCCAAAATGATAGAGCCAATGTATTCCACCTCTTTTACAGTGAATTGCCTCTCCTCCTGGTCAGGCTCTAAATATTTTTTCTTTATGTCCCTAGACATGCTACTCCTAGATATGCTATATATCTTTCATAGGAGGTTACCCCAGCCCAAATTGAGATGTTACCTATTAGTCCAACAACTAATACTGTAGATATATGACTCCCATATGAAAGCTGTACTTGTTTCTGTTCAGGCATGGAGTAGAATCTGTCTCACATGCTATTAATTATTAAATTGTCTGTAGTATACTAAAACGGCAATAGAATTTAGTATTTCCAATTGTTAACAACTTGAATTGCCATTGGGGCAAAGAGACTCTTCTTCTTCTTTTGAGTGATCACTCTTCAGAATCTTTACAAGATAGAGTAGACTAAAGAAACAATTCCATAGAGATCAGGACTGTTTTTATTGTAAAAGCTACAGTAAACAAAATCTTGCAAACCCAAGCAGTATTGTTTTAACCTTTGCTTTCTTTGATAGTGGCTCTTCTATCTTTCAAGGCCATTCCCTGAGATTTCCCTGAAGAAATCTCCAAGAAGGTTACTTTTTTTTTTTATCAAAAGCTATAGCTCCTAGAAATTGTCTGGTTTCTTCTCATGCTCTTAATCATTAGCTCTTAGTTACCCACAATTTCCCTTGCGATTTTTATTCTTTTTGTTGTTGTTAGTTGCGAAGTCGTGTCCGACCCATCGCGACCCCATGGACAATGTTCCTCCAGGTCTTCCTGTCCTCTACCATCTTCTGGAGTCCATTTAAATTCACACCTACTGCTTCAGTGACTCCATCCAGCCATCTCATTCTCTGTCGTCCCCTTCTTCTATTGCCCTCAATCTTTCCCAGCATTAGGCTCTTCTCCAGTGAATCCTTCCTTCTCATTAGGTGGCCAAAGTATTTGAGTTTCAACTTCAGGATCTGGCCTTCTAAAGAGCAGTCGGGGTTGATCTCTTCTAGGACTGACCGGTTTGAACGCCTTGCAGTCCAAGGGACTCGCAGGAGTCTTCTCCAGCACCATAGTTCAAAGGCCTCAATTCTTTTGCGCTCAGCCTTTCTTATGGTCCAACTTTCACAGCCATACATTGCAACTGGGAAAACCATGGCCTGGACTATACGCACTTTTGTTGGCAGGGTGATGTCTCTGCTTTTTAGTATGCTGTCTAGATTTGCCATAGCTTTCCTCCCCAGGAGCAAGCGTCTTTTAATTTCTTGGCTGCAGTCCCCATCTGAGGTGATCTTGGAGCCCAGAAAAATAAAATCTGTCACTACCTCCATTTCTTCCCCATCTATTTGCCAGGAATTGAGAGGGCCGGATGCCATGATTTTGGTT